AAGGAAAAAAAAGAAAGAAAAAGTGGGGATGGAAACGAAAGGAGAATGAAAATGGAATGGGAAATGAAATGCAGTGGAACGGAAGTGAAACTCAAGCAAATGAAATGCGCTGAACCCAGATAGATGAGTACCTCACACATGTCGGGATACACAAGTCTGACTGAGCGTAGCAATGCTGTCTCCAAAACTCGTTTTATAAATTGTAACTCCATGCCCGAAGGACGGACTTTTTTTTTTTTTTTTTTTTTTTTTCAGACAATATATTTCTCAATATCCCGTATCCCATAGAAGAGAGTGAGAAGAGGTGAGGGGAAGAAAAACCAGGGAGGAGGAGGAGGAGGAGGAGGAGGAGGAGGAGGGGAGTTCCCACGTGAATCAATAGAGCAATAGTTCCCTCCTCATGCCCACTTCCTCCTCGGGCGTCTCCCTCTCTACCCAGGGAGGAGGAGGAGGAGGAGGAGGAGGAGGAGGAGGAGGAGAGGGGGAGTTCCCACGTGAATCAATAGAGTAATAGTTCCCTCTCCTCATGCCCACTTCCTCCTCGGGGTTCTCCCTCTGCCGCCACGTCAGCAATACAGTTCTCCTCTGACGATCTCTGACATATACAACAGGCAGCAGGTCACAGCAAGGCGCCCATTCTCCCTCCATCCACGTCAGCAGCAAACAGGGAGGATGGCGCAGGGGACTTCTTTATTCACGTGGAGACGAGCAGCATATCCTTCACATCGACACGGTAAGTCCAGGTAACACTCAGATCAATCTCACAGTCCAGATCCTCCTCCTCCTCCTCCTCGCCCTCACTCCTCTCAACGTCAATTTGGCTATGGCCACGGCAGCATAATCTCCCACAAGGCTGCCGCCCTCCCACACTCAGAAACTGGCGCCAGCATAAAGATCCAGCGGCCTTGTTTCGTCGTCGCACCGGCAGTAAGCCAGCGCAAGGCACAATGCCCTCGGGTAGGGGCTGAGTCAACTTGGAATGTTGACTCGCGTTGACTACCGTCATCCCCTGATCACAACGCACCCTCATTATGAATGTATAAAGGCTAGGTTTCCGGTCCGATGCACTCAAACTGAGGGTGCGTTGTGTTCGGGGGAAGACGGTAGCCTCTGGTCTCCTGGCCGAGATCAATCAGCAGCCAATGGCGGCCGAGGATGTCGCACAGTTGCAGATTTCCCACGTGTCCCACTTGGACCGGATTCTTCTTCTGGATACCTGCAGACCACCAATGATGTGCATCTGATCTACGGCTGCGGCTGACCAGCGGGTTGACTTTGACCTCTGGGCCGGGATTCCCGTGCTGGGGTTGACCGTTGACTTTCCCAGGGTCAACGGATTCACGTAGGGCCTCTGGAGGCCAGTTTTGACCTTGCCCTGGGTACCCCTCGACATCATCTGGCCTTTGTCCAGGGCTCTATAGGACGTAGGGCGTGACTTTTGACCCCTGTTTTGGGCCTTTGACCAAAATGTTGACCCATAGTCAACAGCTCATGCAGATTTGAGCTGAGTTATTGCAGAAACTTACATGAAAGTCAAACGAAATAATGGCAAAAAATGATGAATGCAATGATCCGACTCAACTTGACTCCGAAATGATCGGCGAAATGGCAACCATGGGAGTCCCCAGAGCTCACACCAGACTCACACAGCAAAGCAACGAGAGAGAGAGAGAGAGAGAGAGAGAGAGAGAGAGAGAGAGAGAGAGAGAGAGAGAGAGAGAGAGAGAGAGAGATCAACTGCAAGTCGAAGAGATACTGTTCCAAATAACAAAAGTGTTGCAAGTATCTGAACACAAGTTCCAGCGGCTGTGGTCGCCGCACCCTCATACTCACGTGTGTATTCTCTCTCTCTCTCTCTCTCTCTCTCTCTCTCTCTCTCTCTCTCTCTCTCTCTCTCTGTGTGCCTCTCTCTCTCTCACACACTCTCTCTTCTCTCAGAGAGGCAGAAGGGTGATCGCGACTTGTTGTTGTCGCATGCCATGGGCAGGACGTGTATTCTGTGAGAGTAAAGCCTCGCACGTATTGTCCAATTCGCAAGTGTTATCTGTGTGTGTGTGTGTGTGTGTGTGTGTGTGTGTGTGTGTGTGTGTGTGTGTGTGTGTGTGTGCACTCAGCGCTCACAGTCTATGGCTTCGGACCTCTAACGACCTAAAGGCCTGAATTTGCGTTTGGGCAGCTGGGCCTGCGGGTTTGTCTATGGTGCATGGGAATGGGGCAATTGGGACACAGGGACCAGGACACTGGACTTGTCTGACAAGGACACGTGAAATTCTCTCTCTCTCTCTCTCTCTCTCTCTCTCTCTCTTTTCTTTTTCTTTTTGATGCGCTTTGCATTGCAAAGAACAAAGGTTAAATCATCAAGCAACAAGTCTTAGGGGGCGTAGCTTTTGACCGAGTCAAAGTTCTGTGTGGTCAAAGTTTTCACCGAGTCAAAGTTCTGTGGTCCCACAGCCTCTGCAGAGGCTGAGGAAGTCCTTAGGGTCAGGAGGCCTGGGGGTCCAGGGTCAAATAGAGGGGCCACACAGAGGCCCTTTTTAGAAGAAAAAGCAGTCTTTAGGAAAGTCAACAGTCAGGCCCAACCCAGGCACAGAAGTCAAAGAGGGTGGCAAAGTTTTTATTTTGTTTTTTTTTTCCAAAAAATTGGCCCGTTTGTGTGTCATCCTTGGGCAGGGGCCATGCTAATCTTCTTCCTCTGTATCGTTGTGTGCGGAAGGATGAGTCAAAGATTTTTAAGTAGTCAACCATGGTGAAACGGTTTTCACCTTTCTGCGGTCATCGATGCGCGCACTAGAGTTTGATCCCCAAACCTTACCTTGCCCATGTACAGTATCGAGTTGATCCTGGAAGTGTTTGAACTTTGAACCCGTGACCTGTATTTTGGTAGTCGTTTGATGTCTGCCGTAAGTCTGTGTAGTTGTAGGGCCTCGATCTGTAGATCTGATGAGTAGGGGTCACAGCCTTGTAGAGGTCGCAGCTGTAGGTATTCTGAGAGGTCAAGGTCGTGGCTGCTACAGTCCTGAAAGGTCAAGGTCGTAGCTGACACAGTGTTCAAAAGGCCAAGACCACAGACTTCCGGAAGGTCCGGAAGTGGCCTTTCGAAGTTGGCTCATGTTTAGACAGAGGCAAGTGGGCAAGTGGTGAGCCCAGCTGCGTTACGTCGGCAGTGCGACTGCATCCAGTTGGCAGTGCAAACCCTTGCAGTCAGCGGTACCGGTCCCAGTGAGTCATAGTCAAGCAAGTACCGTGGTGGACTGTGTGCACCATGGGCCCGGTGGAAAGGGGCCAGACCAACGAGTTACAGCAGTATAAATCAAGAGGCGGCGCCCAGCCATTCAATCATTCGCTGCGTAAGCCATGCGGAAGCGCTGCTACAGCGTCTTGTGCGAGGTGGTCTGCATGTTGCCCGAAGTCGAAGTGGGCTGAAGTGAGACTCCGTAGCCATAGTTAGTGTCAGTAGAGCGGCCATAGCCGCTGTAGGAGGTAGTTAGGCAATAGTGTGTGTGTGTGTGTGTGTGTGTGTGTGTGTGTGTGTGTATCAGAGAGGAATGTGTGTGGAGTATTCAGGGTGATCCAGAGCTAAGTGGGTGTGAACAGTGGTGTTGGGAACAGTATCGAGGGTTGGACGTGCAGGCGGTTAGGCGCCATAGCCTGTGGAAGCAAGTTTGCATCTGAACTGAGTTCTTGATTTCCATATCTCTGAGTTTTGAGTGGGCGCTGTGCGCCAGTGTGAATCACCATCTGTTTGCATGTATGTGACGCAAAGAAGAAAGCGAGTCTGATTGCAATGGGTGTAGAATACCTTTTATCGGCCGTTTGGATAAAAATAGATAAAGTGTAGTATCGATGGTAATTTTTAATCAGTTCAATATCTGATCTGTGGTCCATCAGGCCACATAAGAAAAAGAGGAAGACAGTTCAAGACACACAAATCCAAAGAGGTTCAATGGTTCCAGTACACGTATGTGGACTGCATTCTTGAGCAAATACATGTGGACTGGTCCCAAATTTTGAATGTATGGGGACCACTACCACCTTTAGATACATTTAGAATGTTGTGTAGTGGAGTGGAGTGAGTTCCCTTCTCTATTTACCGCCAACAATAATGAGAAAAGCCCACTAGGACCAGGCCCCAGTGGGCCCACTGGGTCATCATTTGATTCCACTAGTCTCCAGAAGGTTCCAAGGCCCACTGGGTCGAGGCACAGGCTGACCTCAAGCAAATCTTGGCCACACAGATCGGCGGCAAATCTCATCCCTACTAGGAGTGGGAAACTGGAGGGATGAGATTTGCAAGACCAAGTTAACACTAGTTAGCATCTGCGCCGGCATGTCTCAGCTAGCTCGATTCATTCTGCCTTGCCCTGCTTTCAGGCTGGAGCGCTAGCATGAGAAGAAGGCAGATAGAGAGGGAGAGTGAGAGTGAGCGAGAGGGTAGAGATAGCTAGTACAGTGTGCTGCACCATAGCTTAGCTGTAGATTGGGAGAGCGTGAGTTTGAGGGCCGATTATATCCTCTGCTCTTTTGAGTGTGTGCGTGTGTGTTGTGTCAGTGGGGAGAGAGAGAGAGAGAGAGAGAGAGAGAGAGAGAGAGAGAGAGAGAGAGAGAGAGAGAGAGAGAGAGAGAGAGAGAG